AGGTGAAATCCATTGAGCTGATAATCCTTGAAACCTTGGGGGGGGGGGAATCCTAGAAAAATTATAATTGCCTACCTCCAACTAGAATATATAAGATAAAGGCATTAAAATAGGAGATAATTGTTTTCCCACTACTTCCCAATATAAGTTGTAAGAGAAAACTATTGATTCACAAAAGCTCAAACCATATGATTATATAAAGTGGTCTGTATAGAAATGGTTTACAAAGGTCTTATAAATATCTATAAGAGAAAAGAGAATGGAACTATGTGAAAATGTTGTACTTTGTCTTTGCAGTTCTGGTAAATCCACAGACCTATGGATAGCACCATTAGCTCCTGTTGGCCTTTATGAGCAAAGAAGTATAAACTTCAGGAACTCCTATGAGAGAGGAATATACAGGAGACTTGACGATCCCATTATAAAAGATTCAATAGGCAAAAAAATTGCCCTTCATAAAGTTCTTAGAGCAATGGAAGAAAGAAAATTAAGATTGCTAGAAGTCTCTACAGATATTGCAAGTTTTGTTGTTGTGTGTCTTCAAGTCATTTCCAGTTTATGGCAATCCTAAGGCCATACCTTCCAAGGGGTTTTTCTGGCAAGATTTGTTCACAGGAGGCTTGCTTCCCTCTAAGGCTGAGAGCATGTGACTTGCCCAAGGTTACCCAAGGGCAAAAGGAGAACAAAGCTCTCCTGCCTATGATCAAAGATGATTCCTCCCTTGGATCAGAAAGAAAAAGGAAGCAAAAGGAAAATGCTACAAAGCTTGGTAATGACCAGATGGCAAAATGCTGAGATTACAGCCAAGAGAGCAACAGAAACTGCCTCAGTGACAACAGAATTCTGGGTTACAATTGGATCTGATGAAGAAAGGAGAACCAAAGGTTTCAAGGTTGTGAATTTGATCCCAGGGCTCCAGGGTTGACTCAGCCTTCCATTCTTTCACAGGGGCAATTGGCTAACACATTGTAAACCACTTAGGGAGTGCTAGTTCACTGATAAGCATTAAAGAAATGTAAATGCTAAATGCTTCTTTATAGAAGGTTTTACAAACTTTTTGATAGTATGTAAATGTTTCAGATTGATAAAACCTAGCAAAAGCCAGGGGATGTTACAGGATGAGTGCTAATTTGGTACATGGTTTGCAAAAGCCTGGATATTAAGGAAATAAGCATTATCTAGAGTAAAACACCAGATGTCTGTAAGAAATACATTACCTGTCCCTGATTTCTGTTACTGTTATTTTATTTGTCATCTGTTGTTTATCTGTTATTTTAAGTATGTTTTAAATTATGATTGTTTAATTGTAATGAGGGGGCTATTGGGAGATAGGTCTGTATGTTTTATCGTGTAAGTCGCCCCAGCTGTGTTTACAGAGAGACGTGATACAAATAAATTTTATTATTTATTATTATTATTAGTCCTGGGCAAGAGAACACCTAATTAAAAACAAGTGTTAAGAGAAGGAGTCTAAGGGAGAAACTAGTACACAGATGACTTGAGTATGGCGGGGGGGGGTTCTAAAGGCTTACTGCATTGATACAGTCACCTTAAGCAGGCTTATGCAATAACCTGATGAGTGGCTCATATTTGATAATACACTTATCCCTCCACATTTGCAGCTTTGGCTGTTGAGGATTTGATTATTCAGATTTTATTAATATGTTCTCTCTAGGAATATCTAGGTCCTCCAGCACAACTCTATGGTCAACTTTAACCAAAAGTTGTACTGAAGGACCTACAGCTTCCTAGAGAAGACTCCACTAGGCATTTGTAGCTCCTCCAGGGCAATTCTATGGTCAATGTCTGGCAGATGTTGACCACAGAGTTGCATTGGAGGACCTAGATACCTAGAGAGGTGTTCCGAGTTTTTGTTTGCGGTTTTTCCACATTCATGGGTGTCCTGTGCCCCTAACCCCAGCGAATGTGGAGAGAGGAGTGTAATAGAGTATGTTACAGACAGCAGTGATCTCATATGAAAAGCCAGTAAGATCTCATCTCCAATTACATGGGAAATTATTTTTTACATTAATAGGAAATATTTGGAGCTGTCTGATTAGACAGATAATGCTGGAGATAATATAATTGCTACCTTGTAAAATAGTTAGGTTGTTTCTATAGTCTTCAACATGCTCACATCTTGCTGTCTGACAGCTTTTATACTGTTCCTGGCTGGTAAATAACTCTTAGGATGCTGATAAAAGGACCTATTTTTCAATTATTTAATATGCTGCATTAGGCTATAAACATATTGGTGTTGAAGACCCTCTACAAAATAATGTATAGAGCTGCCTATTAAGGATAAAGGAGATGATATGAAACGTTTCTTATGAGTGTCTCTATGTATTATGTACAAGGTGGTAATTCCTCAAAAGGGTGAACTATATAGCTGCCTCACAGTTGTTTGCCAAGATGCTAATACGAAATAAGATGTGTAATGCCTTGCATTAAATGTAAAGTTAATTATAACTTATGGGCCTAAACATATGAGGTCTATGTTCCTTCCCAAGGAGAGTTTGTGTATTTATCCATTTTAATAAATAGCCTAAGCTGCCTGGTCATACTCCCATATCAAAATGTCCTGAAAGTCCAATACCTCAAAAAATACATAGGCCAAGTATTGATACAGCCCACCTACCCCAACCACAGGCTTGCCATCTGTGGATTTGAGCATCTGTGGATGGCAAGCCCCATTGGCCCTAATGGTGCATACATTGCCATTAAAAACATGAAACTTTAGGTCCTATGGTTTTTAGTAACCGTGTGGGGGTCCAGAATATAACCCTGTGGATATTAAAGGTTAACTGTACTATATCTGCCTGTTTATAGACTATACTATTATTCACAAATTGGGAGCCTAGGTATCTAGAAATTTCCCAACAGATGCAAGTTTGCTGACAAATGGCAAGGAATCTACAGGCTAAAGCATACACACGTGCATGTGCAGTGACAGGCACCATTTGGGAAGGCCCAACAGTGAATTTGCACGGCGCAGGCTCTCTTGGGCCTTCCCAAATGGCGCTCTGCATCGTGCATGTATGCGTGCACAACGCAAGGCGCCATTTTGGAAGGCCCAATGGAGCCTGCGCCATGCGAATTCGCCCGGGCGCCATTCCTCGCCCCCCCTGGCCCCGGCAACAAAAAGTTGCCGACCCCTGGGCTAAAGAGATAGGGATGGGAAACCTCAGTAATTTTGTTTATTTGATTTATTCCTCATATTATTTCAGAGGGCATTTTTTGTTGTTGTTGCTGGTCTCTTCAGAATTTGTAAACTGCCTTGAACTGTCCTTAGTTTTTAAAAAGGCATACATTTTAATATGTATCACTCTCTACCACAAATGCTTATTTGATATAACACCATGACAGAGAGAAGATAGTTCACAATTGGCTATGCAACTGTAAGAATGGGAAATCTAGTATAGAAAGGACTAGCTTTGTAAGTGAAGCCATCAAGGAAACAGCAATGGACATGGGATAGGGGTCCAAAAGATGGCTAGTACAAAGACTAATTCCTTTCCAGATTCCAGCAAGCTAAACTGTAATGGTGTATTTTAATTCGCAAAAAGGTAACACCATAGGAAATCTGTTTTAAAATGGCTGTTTGAGATTAAATGCTAGGAAACATCATAAATCCAATTTTAGTAAGTTTTTCTTTCAAGTAAAGATATATTGATTTTGAACCTCATAGGAAATCCTGTGAAAAACAAAGCAGATTTTGGCATGAACATGTACTGTAACTATAATCACTAGTGAACCTTGAGGTAGTCCCATGCCAAATGACAGCCATTTCTTCTCGCTACGTGCAAACCATTTAGCCACACATTTTTCTTAGAAGGTAGCTGATGCATACTACATATTATAAAACAATGATGGTGCATAAGATTTCTGTTTTTACTCCATTAACCTATCTACCATTTGTGAATGCTTTCTGCGAGATGAAGGGCCTGAACAACTTCCAGA